GTCGGGAACTGAGAAAGAGAGTTTGCAGCGCTCCAAGTAACCTTGAGGTGAAACGTTGCAGCTTCTGCACATTTTGAGTAATGCTCGGCTGCTGCACGTACAGTATGGAGATGATTTTCAATAAATACACACTCTGGCCGCACATATTCACACTCTCATCCTCGGAGGTACTTCACACGGTTTGATGAGATTCAGTTGCCATGGAGACAGCTGATAATGATGGATTGGCCAGCACCTGAAAAGTGCTCACCGATACTTCTAGATCAACCGGTTATTTTTAAAGGCCCTGTGGGAAATCTCAGCATGAAGGACGTGGATCAAGAGAAAGTTTGCTACATTTACCACGTGATATAAGCTGAAGGTCATTGTAAGAATATTGGCACAATTAAAGACGGTTCTACCATCAGATGAAATTAGACCACAATAGACACTGAGGGGGGATGGGTCCTTTCCAATAATTAGAAATGGGCAAATTGTTGCCTATTATGCTCTTTTGTTGCTAGGATGATAAAACGTTTTAAAAGTGAAATGTTTAGGCTGCTCTGTATCAGAGGTCTAAGTGCTCATTAATGTCAATGTGACTGGGATGACCAATCAAATCAAAGATGGCGGATTTTAGTTTTCGCAATATGAATCCAGCACGATGCTTCAGATTCTTAACGCTGGTGAGGTAATGTGAGGTAAGATGAAAGTAGCTAATATTTGACAACTGTTTTATGATAGAAATGTAAACAACCAGCAGTAATATCATGTGACGCCAATTACGGGACATTTTGTCAAATTTCGCCGTTTTTAATTGAAAATACTGGCTTATTATTCAGGTAGCCTAATTCATAACTGAATGTGACATGACAAGAAACATTTTCCGCTAATTCTGCAAATTCACACTCGTATTTTAATATAGGCCTGTTATTTGCGAATAGTTCAAATTGATTACAATTCCCAAATTGACTATATCAATGAAAAGTTTTATTTATTCCTTTAACTTAAAAAAACAAACAAACGGATATCTGGATACCTGTCCTTCAGATGAAGTCTGTCCACACAGTCTATGGTCCACTAGCAGTTTCTGAGTTAGATCATCATTAGATATCAAATTAATATTTCTCCTTGGAGATGCAGCAAGGACAGTCTTAAAAGCATCTCACATTTAATTCTACTCCTTTTCCATCATTAGAACGGAGTTGGAAATGCCATTCATATCTCAAAGAATGCAATTTTATTTATATATCTAACTCCGTTGATACGCATGAGGTCAGCAATGTCAAGGTCACGAGATCGATTCCAAAACACATAGCCTACTGATAAAATGTGCACTTTATGCACTGCGAGTTTCACTTTTGGATAAAAGTCTGGCAAACGAATAAATGTACTTTGGAGGTCAAGTATCTTTTTTGGGCGGCTCTGAGTTTTCACTTCTCTGCCAGTTCGAATGAATCATTGTTCACTCCCTTGTACGCAGGCATGATCAGATCCTCTCTCAGGAGTCAGGACTAGACACGAGTCTATATCACACTGGACTAGACAGAAAGGTAAAGTCTGAGAAACATTTCACACAAAAGCTTGTCTGTAGACGAAGACAATGAGAAAGTGAGAGGACAAGACAAAGCCATTTGTAACTATTTCGCAGACAGTTTGTGCTGCGTCAGGGTCATGTGAACTGAATACTCAGGGCAACAATGAGAAAAGCCTCTCCTCGGTGGACAATTACAGAATATTGTCCTTTAAGGTCATACATTAAGGCACAATAAAATTACATTTTTAAAAAATCTGTATTTTTTGGATGCATAAACAAAGATTCGGTATTAAGCATGCACACAGTCAAATGCATGTGTACTACAGGAAATAAAGATACTGATATTTTAAGCACTGTTTACACAGAAATAAACACCCCTATTAAAGTTAGTAAACTATTAAGAGCATTTATGGATTGAAATAGTGGATGACTATGGAGCCAGAATGATCTCAATAATAATTCACGCAAAAGACGCGATGCACACATGCGTAACCCAATTCACATGCATGAAAAATAATTCACGTGCAATATATATATTCACAAAAACCAATGCACATGCACAAAATAAGAATATATATTCATAAAATACGTTTCACAAATGCAAAACACAATTCACAGATGTACAAATATGTACAAAATTTTTGAATCTTAAAAATTCACGAGTTTATCATGGG